CGGCAACCCTTGGCGGCAAACTGTCGCGAAAGCATGTGAGTGTCCCCAGAAGCGAGGCGGTGGGTCTCAAGGCCGCCGTGGTGGGCTCGTGGAGAGGTCGATACTGTGGCACACGTCTGGCGTGGGGAAACTGGAATTGGACACAGCAGCATCGTTGGCTCGCACGCGACCAGCCACTTTCCACATATTTCGCATCCTTGATTGGCATTCCGCGCCATCTTTATTGACGGGTGGGATTGTACTTGTTTATCTCGACGTATCGCATGTTGTGCAATTCAAGCACGTTTCGTAGGATGCGAAAACCCGCCGGCCCAATGGCTGCGCTCCGAAGCCGGAGCCCTGACTACGCGTTTGGAGTAACCTAGGAGCGGATCATTGGTGCATCGCGCCCTATCAATTCTCCGACGGGCTTGTCTTGCTGACTCTATAGTGGATGTCCTGCTTGGTGTAAGAGCGAGTCAGCTTGGCTACTCTTTCTGTTCCTTCATTGACGTGTGCCTCTTCACTACCATGCTGGGCAATACTGTTGGCGGGACGGGAGTTCGACTAGAGACGGCGACCTGTGGCAGACGGCGCTGCGAGTGCGCCACCGATGCTGTCACAATTAGTTCATTCGAGATACACGGATCGGTCGATTTGCTCGGTACCTGAGCGTGGCTGGGAACAGTCGCAAATCTTACATCGTTCAAAACTGGCTTCAGAGCACACCTCACGCCCTGTTCAGCGTCCTTCATGAACTTGTGCAACGGAAGTAAGCTTGCGGTCGCTCAACCCTCATCCGTCAGACTAGCGACAGCAAACACGCCGAAGATATACACAGTGCACAACGTATACGTCGCACACAAGTCGAATGAGTGTCGACGTAACACATGCTACATGCGAGGCTCACGATTATTCCACCGCTCTGTGCGACGCCGTTTCCGTGGAACATTGCAGAGATGAGAAACGTCAAGAATAGAAAGTCGTTGTTCCAACCGGCCATGCATATAGTTTTCCTAGTGAAGCTCTATGCGGTCAGCTTACAATACCGCCGGAATTGACAATCCCAAGCCTGAAACTGTAAGCGTCTATAACCCCGAGAACGCATGTTCCTCTACGAACAAGACATTCCCCTCAGTCACAATAGACTCTTCGGTACTTCTCAGCACAAAGTACTTTCTGCACTTTAACATGCCCAGTCCAACCCTGCCCAACTAACCACACCCTCCCCTACACAGAAGACCCCCCATCAATCGAAATATTCTGCCCCGTAATACTCCTACTAAGCGCCAGCACCCTAACCTGCTCCGCACAATCATCCACCGTCGCCAACCTCTTCAACTTAGTATTCTGTATCGCCGCCTCCCTTTTCTTCTCCGGAAACTTGAGTCCCCACTCCGTAAGCAACATACCAGGACTAATACTATTCACCCTTATCCTCGGCGCAAGAATAACAGCCAAGCTCTTCGCAAGATGTATCTGCGCCGCTTTCGTAACAGCATACGGCACGCTGCTCCCGCTGGGCTTAACTCCCGCTACACTTGCTGTGGAGATGAATGTGCCTTCGGTTGAGGCTAAGGCGTCTTTCGCGGCGTAGGCGAGCCACATGTGTGTTTTTACGTTCATGGTGAAGCATTTGTCCCAGTCTTCGTCGTTTATCTGCTGTTCGATGTCGGTGAAGGTGGTCATGCGGGTCCAGCCGGCGTTTGAGACGACGACGTCTAGGCGGCCCATTGTTGAGATGGTTTCTTTGACGAGGTTTTGGACGGAGGGCTTGGAGGACATGTCGGCTTGGATGAGGTGGAAACGGGGGGTGCATGAGGAGGAGGGGCCGGGGATGGTGGAGAGCTCTTTCATGAGGGTGGCGGCTCGGTCGGAGTTTGAGGAGTAGTTTATTACCTGGGTATGTTAGTTACTGTACTTGGTCGCCGTATATGCTGGACATGTGACGGTAGGTAGGTTTGTATGCATACTACACGGAAGTCTGGTGCGAATACGCGTGCTATCTGCGCGCCCAGACCTGCTGAGCTGGCGGTGATGAGTGCGACTTTCGTGGTCGCCATTGTGAATTCTTGTGAGTATGAGAAGACGATAGTAGAGTAGGATGATGCTATACAGCGGAGAGCAACTGCTCCATATGTATCACCGCGGGGTGGACGCGGGGTTCCGCCATTGGATGCGGGTGCGGAACCATTCCGATGTGGACCCCTCCACCTCTCTTTGTTCTCCAATGTCTTCCGCTTTACTTCTTCATCTCAGCGCAAATATGGATGACACCCTGCCATCACGATCGATGCTTGTCATAAGTCCTGCAAGCTTCTCCTCTCATTGAGAGCTACTGCATCCTATTCATGGGAATCCAAGCGGCTCAAACACCTGAACGAAGCTCGTCATCGCATCACACCGAGTCAATCATCGAGAGAACGCACACCCCACCCTTTTCGCTCTCAACTCATCTCTCGTATTCCGCATCTCGGCATCACCCTTCCCCACAAGCTCCGAAGGACCAAGTTCGTGAATCCGATATCCTCCTGGATGATATCGTTCGTCGCCTGGGACGACACCCCCAACTAGTCGCAGTAGCAAAGCGTTTGGACCCCACCTCTTCATGAACGACGGCTTGACGTACCACGGCCTGTCAATATATTGACCAGCATTGGCGCGACCAGTGCGCTCGTCGATTTCTGTGAACCAGTCCGGGCGTAGGAAAGACGGACGGGGGAGGAAGAAGTTTCGGAGTAAAAACTTGCGAATCTCGACCAATGTTTCTAGACCTTGGTAGTAGACGGCGGGGGGTTTTGGTATGCTTGGAGATGATCAGTATCGTGCATTCATCAAGTAAGAGCTCCATCTTCAACTTACTTCATCGCTTTCCGCAAGCGCGGCTCGAGTAACATGTGTGCCACGGTAAAGCTGAAAGGCTTGAGAGCGGAAGGTACGTTGAACAAGGCGACATCGAAAGTACCACGACCCAGCGTCGCGTTCGTATCAGCAGGCACCATATTTTGAGCCTCATATGCCAGACTCCATGCTTCTACCTCTTGGAGCCAATGGAGTCCGTCGCACCATCCTTGGTTCGCTGAAGGTAGTGTCTCGTATGATATCTTCATCGCCTCACCCATATCCTTCCAGTAAACACCCATAGCGCATCTCTCGAAGTCCGTTACAGTTCGCCACTCGTACCTGGCAGTCCACCTGATAGGTTCAAGAACGAAGAGGCTGAGTGTATACAACATATCGTCATTCGATATCTTCCCGGCTTTGATATATCGAGCATGAAGGTAGTTCATACGCGCTATGCCGCTGATGGCGCGTTCTGAATCAGGTTTGTTGATAATCGCCTCGGTCATGATAGTAGCTGTATCAGCAGCTCGTTTCGATGCTGTTTCCGGGCAAGATAGTTGTCCTGTTGCGACCAGCAGTTTTGAGATACTGGGTATGCCATAGGTTTTGAAGAGGGCGAAGAATGTGGAAGTTTGGAACACGACTGGAAACTCGAGTTCAGCGAGAGAAACGTGTACTGAATGCGCATCTTTAACAGTCATGCGACTCCATGAAGAGCGATCGGGGTACTGGGTTGTTTGTCAGCCTTGCGGAATTGGAAGCATTGATAGTATTGCTTTTACATTCAAGCGGTGAGTGAGGCCATCGCGACGCCTATACCGGAGAGTGCGAACGAGAAGCCAGTAGGCACTGACGACGCTGAGTATCCAGAAACTCAGACTTGATGGAAGGCGCAGCGTATCTGTGTGACTTGATGATGTCGAGTTCGTGGTTTGAGCTGTGTAGATTTCCGACATTGCAGCCAGGTTCTGTGGATCAAAGCCAGACGCGGCTGAGTTTGAGGAAGCTGAGGTTGACATTGCAAATGATGTTCAGCCGTACTTAACTAAGTACGGTAGCGGTTGGTGCACTTGTGGGCGGAGGCTGAGGCACAGTTGCGCTAAGCTAGCCTAGGTAAAGTGGCACGCCGTGCGTTCCCACTGTGCGTCCTCAGGGTCCGTCCGCGGACTGCGATTGCATCATGTACGACGGCAATTGTCTTCCGTAGAACACAAAACCTTCGAATATCCACGCTCAGCCGCTGCGATTAGAGGTGTTGACTCGTTCCTATCCTGTGACTCAATTCACCCTCCGTTTCGTCAATCATATCTAGAACGCGACATGCGTTGTCTAGATCTCGATTTTCGTTCATAGTAATGCCTTCCGTACCTAAATATCCTTCTTAGTCCTCGCCAGGACATCTTTTTTTTTCCCCGCGCCTCACACGTAGGGAAGGTGAGATGTGGCGGCTGACTACAACCTCGCAAGGGTCGACATTTCGTTCCTTCCAATAAGTGGACCTTCCAAGAAGGATACCGAGATTCCCAGCATTATCTGTCGTCCTCAGTTCTGTCCTCTATCTCGACACCCGCATAGTACCCTGCTTCAATTACGATCTCATTCGGAGACGAGTTCCCGGTACACGAGGAACGTTTGTTCCGCGGCCACCAACGAACAGTCTAGATCGCAGGCTACCAGCGATAGCGCGCCCATCAAGCCATCGGGTCTGAGCGCATAAACCAAACACAATTACAGATAAATCTACGCCCCATCTCACCGGTTTTGCTCAGCTCATCGATCCGTCCTGGTCTATTGGACGCATCATTCGCGGGGTGCAGTGAAGGACGATCAGGCTGACCAACGGGATCATCGAAGCCACAAGGCTGAGAATGCTGTCGAACTGACAACTCATGAGTGCATACAGACCCCGCGTCTTATAATAAGTGACAGCGCATGTGTTTTGAGCCTCATTTTGGGAGAAGTTGTCGTGATGGGTTAAAGAGGGAGGTTTGGTCTGACTTCTCGAAAGTATCAGCAGGCGTCCTTCGGTGTTAGCACAATATGTCTGTTAGCGATAACTCTACCTTGGACGTGTCGCACGACAATGATGGTCTGGGCGGATATGCGTATGGTACGGGAGACTTAGCAGTCAGTCCTGAAGAGGTCTCGTAAGTTACATATCACCACCGAGTCTCAGTATGGCGTTGACAGTGTCGCACAGCCCCTATGCAACAACGCAGATGGTCTCACTGGAAGTGGGACCAGAAGCGACCCGCTTCCTCGTCCACGACAGTGTCTTGAGCCGTAGCGAGGTTCTTGCCGCAAAGTCCTATCCATTGGCCTTTGTCAAGCAATCCGTGCTTCTCCCAGAGCTAGATCTGAACACAGCACACACTTTGGTACACTACTTGTATACCGGCAAGTACCAGAGCCTCAACACATTGGCATCATCCGACAAAGTCATACCCGAAGTCTACAAGCTCGGTGCCGGTGTATACTGCGCTGCCGCTCGTTACAAGCTACCAGGTCTTGCTGAGCTTGCCCAGAACAAGCTGAAGTCCCTCGACGAAGAGATGAGCATCTTCGATATCCTTACCGTAGCGAGAGACCACGCATTTCCCTTGCTACCAGAAGATGATCTATGGTATCCGAGCTATGTTGAACAGTCGCTCAACAATGCCATGGCGGACGACCCAGAGCCGTTCCGCAAGCCGGACTTCATTACGACGGTGGAGGGGAACAGCAGGCTTCTACAGCTCGTCTGGAAGACTGTGATGAGCAACTACGCCCGAGCGCCTGCGACGCCAGTCGTCAGTAACGAAGAAGCTTCCACTCCCACGGCTGAGGTCATGCCGGAGCTGCACGAGCCGGTTAGTGGGGGAGATGTTGTTCCTACGATTGCGCCACCCAGGGATGAAGCCGTAGAAGAAACCATTACGAAACCGGTACCAGTATCTGTTCAAAAGGACAATGTTGCTGAGGCCCCAATTGTAAACGACGCCATAGTCTCGAAGCCCACTGAAGAAGTCCCTACGAAGCTTGAAGAGCCCCAACCAGTCGAAAAGCCAGCAACACTCGAGCCCTTCACGGACGAGCTGGACTTCAAGTCCTCAAAGACGTACCAGCAGATGGGCATCAGGAAGCCAGAGCAACCCGACGCTAGAGCCTCCGTTCCGAGCGAGCCCAAAGTACCAGTTCATGTACGTTCGGACTCGGTGATGCAAGTCGAGCAGCCCTTGGTAACCACCACTGATGGAGAGACAAAAACCGATGGTGTTGCGCAAGCGGAAGATGAGCGAGCAATTGCTGATCTAGACGAGTTGGAAGCCCTTGGAGCGCAAGGAAAGAAGAAGAATAAGAAGAGGGGTAAGAAGTCAAAGTCGACTACTGTCGAGTAGGATCGTGAGGCGCGGATATTTGTTGTCGTAAAGCAGACTTACATAGCTGGAGTTAGCAAGCTTGGATACACACCCACTCGAAGTTTGTATTGCCTTAGATCTCGCCCGATCTTGTTTCTTTTCCTGATGTAGCTGACAGCGTGTTTGTTGAATGTGTTTCACATATGAGGTGACGCGGTTAGCAAAGACCCGGGGACCTGTCCTGCGTCATCGGGTTAGCCAGAACGCAGGGCCCCAAGCGCGCTAAAACGGCCCCACCCTTCTCCCCACCTTCCTCCAGATGTCCGTCCTCAACGCGATCGCACCGGGCCACCAAATCTTCGCTCGCATACTTCATGTCTCATCCAAGCCTTAACGCACATGTGGAAGGCCTCTGACTGCTGAAAACGGAGCTTGGCTGAACATGTTGGCCCACAAGGCTCGGCAAGCGGCACAACAAGTTCTTCAGCCTTGCTGGCATCACGCGCTATACGGCAACAGGGTGAGGGTCTCACATACACGAAGGTAAGATGTGCGACTCACAGTATAATTGTTTTTCAGAAGATACGCACATCACAACTAACGTCTAAGAATGTCTTTGAAGAAGGAAAACCGATCATCACCGTCCCGCGCTTCACCGCACTCCAATTGACAGCGACCTGTTGTAAGAGCTTGAACTGACGCAACATATCGTATAGTCCGTCACTACTCAGGCTCTACCCTTCGCCAACTCAGGTGTTCTGCATCGTCACCGGGACCCCCCATTGATCCGACTTGAAGATCGTGATAACCCAGGTCCACGTCTCATCCGGATAATCGATGTATATGTATTCTGCTGGTCTCGCCGAACGTCTGCCATGGCGACCCAGCCGGATGTCGTTGACCTAATTCGGACCACAGCAAGCTCTTCATCTGTACGCCATTAGAAGCCGCCAGAGGGAAACACGGTTATTGAACGTACCAGTTACAAGTAATCTCCGCCACCTCGATACTGTCAAAAGACTGGGTCTCTCCAGACGGTGCTTGCATATCAGGCCTATGGCGGACAGCATCACCATGACGAACAAGGTGACAACAGCGAAAATAGCCTCTTTGGTCCATGACTGCTTTGCATGTATGATATCTGTTGATGGTGCCACTGGACGAAGTCAGCATCTCGAGAGCCTACTGGACATTGGCACATTCGTAGAGTCGGCGAAGCCAGGATGTTTAACGGAACACGTGGGCTCAATGAGAGGAAACTATATGCACTTACTTTCTATCCTATTCCAAGAGAATGGAAAAAAGTGTGCCTACTTTTGGCCAGTGGGAGCGAGGCGAGAGGAGAGGTTTTCTTTGTGTAATTTGTTGTATGAGCTCGATAACATCAAACGGAGGTGTGGTGAGAAGGCCGGACGGGGTTGAGGGTTGGTCTTGGCAACAGTCAATAAGTTGCAAAAGATTGACGAAATATTTGACCGAGGCAGTAAGCCAGTAATCGACGCTGAGGTTCGCTAGACAGTCTGCTAGGCAATTGCGACGTATTCGAAGTTGTTCGCACTTAGAACGATCGAGTGTCTGTCAAAGTGAAAAGGTATGTGATATTCGAGAGGTGTGATCTGATTGGTCTAGGTCGGCTGAAAGGTGCTGCTTAACCTTGGAAGGAAGTGACGGCGACGTCGGGCTGCGCCTGCTTTTGAGACGAGCCTCTGTCGGTGCTGACCACCTTGGAAGCGTAGTTTGAGCCCCCTGTCGGCGCCATGCATGCACTACCGCAGCCCAAGGGACCCCGGCTATTGGCATGCTTCAAGGTTCTTGATTGGTGGATGTAGAGCGCTCGCGTGTTGTACATCATGTCTCATTGGCTCCAACACAGGCTGGCGTTCAGAGACATGCGGGCACCGGTTACGCTAAGTTGCTTGAGGATCGATAGTGTGGCTGTGGATTATTACGCAAACCAAGTAGAGCCGACGTGCGAGAACGTCAGGTCGATGCAACGGTGAGAGGGCAGGCGCAGACGGGCTTGGTCTGTCCTTTTCACTGATCGTTAACATCCCTTTCTGGGTTGCTGAGCTTTAGCTAGCCTGGTCAGACACGCGCCTCACGCAACTTGCGGTAGTGGTAACAGATGTGAGTGTACGGGAGGATGTCACGGTGGGCACTTCCGAATCGTTGCAGCTTGCATAATCCACACAAGCTGTAAGCACTCTTGTGAGGGTCGGGACAAGTGGCATATATATGGCAAGGCTGAGGGGTCTCGGTGTGTAACGTGCAGACCTAGCCACGTCATGATCTCAACTCATGCGAGAGGCCCAATGTCAATCTTGCTCCAGTGATGTGGCTTAAAAGAGGACTGGCCTCTGTTGCCTTCACATCGCTATTGGGCTATTCAAGTGACTGCTTCCTAAGTTTACGCACGATTGAAGGCTCATTGTATCCGAATCCTCCATTACACGTTCCTCCTCTTTTCTCAATGTATGCATCACTCAACTCTACGAGTATGTCCACTAGCTCGCTAGATATCAGTTCTTCTTCCTGTTATACTCTGACCCTTCGTCGATGCAATGCTTGCTTGCTGATGCTTTACCTTCCATTCTATCGCGGGGTGTTCGGTCGCGCCACAATAGCCAAATGATGGTACAGTCGGGACGCAACATTGTTAGCTTTCATGTGGCAAAGATATGCAACAACGAACACACCCCGTATGTACAGAGTCTTATGATCTCGACTGCGATCTACTGTTGTATCACAAGCGTTGAGAAGACTCCGTACTTTCATATCGTCGGTACCAAAGAGCGGCACAGTACTTACTCGCATATGGCTGTCAATGGAGATCCAGTATGCAGTCGGGATATTGGCCCTACCAGAAATACAACATAAGCGGGGAGGAAGCTTTTATATACTCATTTCATTCCCTATCCAAATATTCATTCTCAAAGAATCCCATACCTCGCCCTACCCTCAGCGACCCGGCACTTGCAAGCAGTAGAGTAAACTCATATTGCACCAGGCGCTCAAGAGGCAAATGGAAACAAGGTATATGCCATGGCTCAAACCAGCCCATCCGGAACCTTCCCAGCGGACAGGTAACTATTCAACTTCCATATATAAAAAAATATCCTCAAGACATTATCGACTAAAGTATCTCGCCTCGCCTGCTCCGGTGACCAGCCTCGATAAGTGAGATTGGGGACGGTTGATGCGAGGCTACAGGGGGTATAAGCATCGAAAAGCAAAGAGGTCTAGTAGTGGCTGGCCTTCTACTGCATATCTGCAGTGGATGGAAGCCACTAAAGAGAATCGAAGCCAAGCGAAGGGAACAGGGTAAACAACGAATTCACAAGGAACCGCGTACCGCTAGTTGGAAAGGTTTCACAAAAGGAAATAGCGAAAAAATGATAATCAAAGATCAAGAAACCGCTCAAACGTTCCTCATAAAAGCACCAGTCTAGAATCAAACGTTCTTGTTTACATAGCCATACCAGGGACCGGCTTCCGGGCGGGGATAGGAACAGGTCCGTTGGGGGTGATGGCGTTGGGATTCATGGGACTGGGACCGGGTGCTGGACCTCGTCGTGGGTTACCGGCCTGGCTCGCAGAGTTGGATCGTGGACGCCCGCCCATTTGGGGTGGGGGTGCCATCTGGGGTCCGCCGCCGTAGGGGCCGGGGGACATGGAGCGGGGTGGGCCGGCGTAGGGCGCGTTGCTGTTGGAGCGGCCACGGGGAGGTCCTTGTTGGGGAGCGTTGCTGTTGGATCGCATGCGTGGGCCTTGTTGCATTTGCGGGGATGGCATCTGCTGGGGCGACATCTGGCGAGGGGACATTTGACGGGGACCGGGGCTGCCTTGGGGCATGTTGGGAGAGTTCATGCCGGGCGATTGGGGACGTTGCTGAGGACCGCCCGGACCCATGGCTGGGCGGATGGGTGGGCCGCGCATGTTACCTGGTGGTGGGGGACCGTTGCGAGGAGGGCCGTTACGAGGCTTGACAGGGTGCTTGGAGAGACATGTGCGGGGAACGACACCTTGCTGCGAGCGGTCCATACGGATGCAGAGAGCCTGAAATCAATTAGTTGTGGTGTCAAGTACAGAGAATTATCGAACTTACCCATCCATCGTCGTACTCGTGGAGCATGCGGACCAGCTGACCAGCGTGGAGATCGAGTTCATCTTGCATGGAAGGCTTGAAGTCAAGTTGAACACGGTGAACGTTGTTAGGACCAGGACCCATGGCAGGGCTCTGGGGACGACCACCAGCCATAGCGCCAGCAACAGGAAGAGGACCAGCGGGAGCTGGGCCGGGGGACGCAGGGATGTCTTCGGTCCAGGCCGGGCTCGGGGGAACACTTCCGTTGTTGGCGGCGACAGTTGGCGGGAGAGGAAGTTCAGAGGTAGGAGGAGGGATTGTAGACATGGCAACAGCATTAGAATCAGCGGTAGCGATAGCTGGAGCTGGGTTGGCGAAATCAGAGCTGGGCTTGGAAGAGTGCATTGCGGAGGCCATGGGAGAAGCATTGGGAGGCGAGTCGGGGATGGAAGCTTGCTGAGTATCGACCGCAGCGTTGTTGCCGAAGGGGTTCGCTGATGGAGGGCCAGATTGCGCCTCAGGATCCTTGAATGGGTCGGCAGCGGGAGCGTTGGCGGCACCACGTCGCTCCCAGGCGCTGGTAGGACGTTCAGCGGATGCTGAAGGCGAGAGGTTACGGTTCTGAGATTGAGCAGCAGCACCACCGGCGGCAGCAGCGACATTGAGCAGGTTTCCTCCACTCTTTCGCTGCTCGTTGAATGCTGGGTCGAATTGGGTGACTGGGCGCAGGCTGAGACGGGGGGCAGTTGAGGCGGTACGAGCAGAACGGATGCTGCCTGCCGGAGCAGCACCAGCGATGATTTGAGGAGGCGGTGGTGCAGGTGCGTTGTACATCTCAGTCTTCTCGTTCTGAGCAGCAGCGGCGGCCATTTGCTTCTTCTTGCGACGGTACAGGAGCAAGATACCAGTGAGAATGGCACACAAGACCAGGAGTATACCCAGGGCAAGACCTGCC